GGGATACCTAAAGCCTTTATGCATATCAGCACAGGGAAAACATCTTAGTATACCTAAAATTTACTATTTAAAAAATAATAATTCTCCTTTGGTCCCAATTCTACAAAAACTTTGAAAACACTTTCAAGTTTTAACCTACTCTGTTTGGAGGTTCATGTATGTCTTTTTTGATTTATTTAGGAATACAACTTTTAGGAGACCCAAACTACATTGCTTGCATCTGCCCGCTCTACAGGATTCCTTCTTTGGAGCAGGTGAATAAAAGTCCAGGACTGCAGAGATTTGGCAGAAACTCAATGGCCTCTGTATTTTTGGCCTATTAATTCTGACAGCAGTATGAATGTATGAAAATACATATATATTTTGGTATATAGCCTGTGTTAGAACCCCGTGGCCAGTGGTTAAGGATGGGGCTACGTCCGTATCCCCAGCTGGATGTCTGAAGCGGTGCCGCTCACGCTGGTCAAAGCCGTTGTCAGCCCTGTGAGCCCTTCTGACAAGGAACTTCCCAGGATGGGCTTTACCATTTAGAATGAACTTTCCATTATGAGGGAAAACACGAGGGAAAGCAGGCAGAAAAACAGGGAATGGTTGATACCAACATTTTCCTAAACTTGCCTCAGGCTGTAAGGGACTGAGCATCCCGTCCCTCGTCTATCTTTAACAAGCACACGTTTTAGTCAGGTTGCCAGAAGCTTGGGAAACTCCCAGCAAAATGGGGACAGGATAATTTTATATTAACGATAGTAAAAACAGAAAAAGGGACTGCTAAGAAACATTACAGACTGCAAGTTATCTAGTCCAACACCTAAAACACGACAGGAGAAAGCAGCACAGGTCTTTTTTTTTTTTTTTTTTTTTTTTCTTTCACATATGATTCCAAAATATCTGTGTTCTTTATTGAGGGTCACCAGCTCCATCAGTGCTCTCAGTCTGAGGACATTCAGGGGACATCTCAGTAGGCCACACGAAGAATCACAAAACCTTTTTCCCATGTGACTCACCTGATGGCTTCTTGGGCCACTGCCTGCATCTCTGTCGTTGTATTTAGAGGCATCTGCACAGGACAGGTGGAAAGACCCCCAGGATGGACAAAGAGCAGTCTGCCCGTTCAGCTTGCCCATTAAAGGCACCCGGTGCTAGCTAAGGGGCTTAGTGAAACACAGAGGACTAGAAACTTGTTCTTTCCAGTCAGAAGTGGGAGTTCCTCACAAGTTTTCTGCCAAACCTCCTGGAGAGTGAACTCTGATTCTCTCACTTTGTACAGACTGCCTGACCATGCGCCCAAAAGCCTCTCACCCCCTGCCCCAGGCTGTCTGGGGACAGGAGGAGGTTGGACACGCAAGCTCTGACATTAGGAAGAAAAACAATTGTCAAGCATCAATGCCAGTATAGTGATCTTTCTGAGACTGGCTTAAGTTTGAGAACAGAAAAGCTAGAAGGGATCTGATTTGATTACACAACACTTTAGATGCCCAATTCTGATTTTTTTTTTCCTGATTGCCACCTCCAGGAATGAGATAACTACTTAATAATCCTCTRCCTTTCCTCATTTTTCCTGTTCAGTGCTTCCCGGCACTGGTCTTGCCTSCATTGCAGGACCTGGCAAACACACRTAGTGGCCATGGCCCTGAGGCAGGACACACACCGTCCCTTCAGCGAGATTCCACCGTGTGCAGGTGGATAAACTTCCCAAACACCTCCTGGAAGTCCTGCATCTTCACACCCAGGACCAAATGTTACAGAACCTTGCATTCCCTTTCCTTACTATCCAGCTTCAAATACATGTATTTCTATTAGCTTTTAATGCACATAGCATCACTGAATGAAGTGACAAAATGAAAGAACAAGATGTGCAAATCACTGGATGTGCAGCTTGCGTTTATATCCACCCTTCATGTTGCATTGAGTTGCTAGACACTGAACAGAGCGGGTTAGCTCAGGCATCTGCTCTGCACTGGCATTTGCAGCAGCGAAGCCYGTGCTGCTGCAGCAGGCCCAGGGTCATCCCTCACACTGCTTGTTACCTGCAAGCCTCCCATATACTGTGCTCTCCTCCCCTCGTGTTTCAAGGGCCTTGTGCAACTCTACCTACCTGCCCTCATTTCATGCCACTCATTTCCTTTGTTACAAAGAGTGCTTCCCACACGATCTTTTCCCCTTATTTTTCATATTTTTTTTTTCTGTGGGAAATAAATTACTCAGGGCGTCATCACACTTGAAGTGGAACTGAGATGGAGGTGGTTATAATGAAATGCTAATAACTGCCAGGAAAATTACAGAGCGGCTCGGAGCTGCTGGCCTTGCCAAGCAGCTGCCAGCAGCGCAACGTGGCTCCCGTGCACCTCTTCCAGTTTACTGATTTCCACCAAAATAAATAGGGCGTAGCTCTTCCATTCCCAGCTTTCACAAAGCGTTCCAGCATTGATTGGATGTGTCATTCAGATGTAATCACGGAGCAGGCAAAGAAATGGAGGAATGTTTTTTAAGTGGAATACAATGGCTTTTGATGCATGCTTAGGGCGTGCTTCAACGTTGTACTCTATCTGYTGGCACATACCTTTGTCGTGTCAATGTAACTCTATAGGGAGGCTCTGCTATAAATGAGCCCGCTTCTATTCACAAGGATTATTTCACCGAGCTGGCKTGCAGTGCAGTTGTATCAGTAATACTCACCCCTCCCACAGTATTAGCAGATATGTATGCGTGTGTGGTGCTGATGAACAGGAACCTCAGCAGGACACTCAACGCCAGAAAAATTGCCGGTTCGAAGCACATCCTTAATCAGCGATCGCTGTTAAGATGCCTCTGCCCCTTACTTGTTTGCTGCTGTCTCTCAGCAACAGAGTAACGTCGGCGGATTTAAAGTGCTGAGGATCGGTGCAGCACTTTGTGAGTACGAGTTGTGGAAACRGTGACCTTCGTGGTAAGGATAAAAGCAGTCCGAGCAGCTTCAGCTGTTTGGGAAGTGAATACACATGCACGGGCTTTGACTCATGCGGGGATGGGGCATAGCCAGGGAGGTGATGGTTCATCTAGAAACACAGCAGATTCATGATTAACCCGCGGCGGTCCTGGAGGCAGAAGGAGAGCTAAGGCAGCGCGCCTGGCAGCCACTAGCCAGGGCTCACACGACAAACCCGCCGCGGTCTGGGCGATAGCCGGGGCTTCGTTGGGCAGGCCCTGCTTCACGTGGACCTGCTCAGCACACCACGGGTGCCTTCCAGCAGAGCTGGAAGCTCCACGGCATGGATTCCACACCGGATTCCAGTTGTTGTRGGGAACGGAAAACCTAACAGGCTCCTCACAGACCTCAAAAGACAAATCCAATGAAGAGGCCTTTGTAGGAGGTTATTCATTATCTAGTTCAAAGCAATGCCCACAGGCACTGCCTATTGCACTTTACTCTGAAAACGCACAGGCCCGTGTTCTTCTATTCCAGATTATCCACATGCCAAGCCTTAAGGAACCTATTCATTTACGCACTTCAAAAATGCAGGTCCAAGGCATTGGGAAAGAAGCCCTCAAGACATCAAGCCCTTGAGAGAAGTTGGGGAGAGCAATTTCTCCATGACTAAAGCATGGAGAAAGGTTCTGCATATGCAGGAAGTCAGAGGGACTTCCAGTGAACTTTCTTCTCACCTTCGAAACTGTGGCCGTAATGTGAAATGAACAGCATTTCAMTCAAGAGCCAAACACTGGCTGTGTTTCTTTACTAGCACATGGGAAGCAGCAGGTTGGCTAGAACACAGAGATTCACCCTAACATTCACTCRTTGCAGTCGCTGAGCAACACAAATGCTCAAATATCAGAACGGGTTTAGGTGACACCACACTGTCGACAGCACTAACATGTCTTAGGGGTTCATTTTATTAGGTCTAAATACACCCCACTCCCGCCCAGAGCAAATCGGCCCTCCCCAGTTTCTTTTTCACTTCGGGAAGTTACATCCAGGCGACGGAAGGCCTCTCTCTCCACCTGCGTGTGAGGAAACGGCAGACATTGCCCGACAGGGAGGGCTTTGCTGCCTCCGCCGCCTTTTCCCCAAACCCCTCGCCACTCTCCGATGCTCCCGTCCCGCTGCCCGCAGCCTCCTGCCTCCCTCACCGCCATCGCCAGCCCCGCCCCGTCCCCAACGGCCGCCCCGGCCCCGCCCCGCCCCCTAACGGCCGCCAGCGCCCCGCCCCCTCCCCGCCCTCCCTGGCCGGGCAGAGCACGTGGGCGCTGCCGGCTTCAAGCCCGACATCCGGCCCCGCCTCGGTGCTCCCGCCAAACCGTTCCGCCCGGCGCGCTCGGAGCCTTTGGCGCGAGCACGCGCGCCGCGGAACCCGGAACTGCCTGTGCGGCGGCGCCGGAGCGGAGCGGAGCGGTGGGGCTGCTGCCCGCGCGCGGCCGCCGCGCCCCGCCGCGCGGTGAGGGGCGCCCGGGCGTTGGCGGCGTTATTGGCGTTGTTGGCGTTGTTGGCGTTCGGCGGGCTGTGGGTCCCCCTCGGAGCCGGGGGCGTCGCGCGGAGCAGCCGTTGCGGTAGTTGTGCCCTGCCGGGGGGCAGCGCTGGCGTGTGTCCCGGGGCGGGGGGTCGGTACGGGCCGCGCTGGCCGCGAGCGGCAGGGCCCGCGCGGGTGTCGCTCTGGGGATCCCGCAGTAAGGACGGTCTGGGGATCCCGCAGTAAGCGGGGGCTCTGCCGCATCGGACCCCTCCGTTTTGTTGTTTTCCCCCCTCATCTTTTAGTGTGAGCGCGCCAGCAGCTCCCCCCTCTCGTGTGCGTGAAGTCGAGGGTGCAGGTGGATTTGTTTTCATCTTGAAATACACCTGGCCTTTAGACAGAGCTACCTACGTGTGTCCACATACAAGCAGAATTTGAATTTTAGCAAGCAGAATTTTAGCAAGCCGAATTTGAATTGCAGCTTTGCCAAGCAGTCTGACTGTTGTCTATTGAAGTGTCAAGCTGACRGGTTGTAAGTAATAGCTCTCTTTTCCTTTATTTCCCCCTCTAGTGCTTTGCCTGCAGTACAGAGATCTTCCAGAATGCTGGAGTCCTACGTAACCCCTATTTTGATGAGTTATGTGAATCGCTACATAAAGAACTTAAAGCCTTCAGATCTGCAGTTGTCCCTCTGGGGAGGAGATGTTGTTCTTAGTAAACTCGAATTAAAGTTGGATGTACTTGAACAGGTATGATGTGTTGACGGTGATGTATGTCTTTGGTTTAAAAGATGTTGGCTAAATAATTTACATGCATGGAAACATTCATTTAGTACTCACTGTGTTTCTTCTTAGGTGTATATGTATATTTTTCTYTTTTCTGCTGTTATACTTGTTTTAATTCCATGTTATTTATCCTATTCTGCAAGCTACAGGGTGTGAAAAAGAAAGGCTTTATTATGGGCAGGTTTCCTCTTTCATTGAGCACTGTTTTGCATTTAACATTTAACCAAATTGTCTTCCAAGTTTTATTTTACTAATTGCCTATAGTAGCTAATTTAAAATGTAACTAACAAAAGTAGGACCTCTTTTAAATTAAGCGTACTGAATGATTTGTTGAATGTTGTTGTTCTRGGTAGTATTTCATAACTCCCTTTTATCATTCCAGTTGTATGTAAACATARAAGTAATTGAGGGATGGTTTTGTCAGCTAGTTTGTGTGAATTAATTCAGAGAGTATAAGACTTAACCTTGAAAAGAAAAGGTTGGTAAAAACAGGATACTCCACGTGGAATTTTGGAGGCTGTGGTTTGTATGAGCATGGTTAGACTCAGCTTGGGGGACTGTTTTCTTCTATGCTTATCTGAGCTGACAACTTTAAGGAGCTGTGTGCGTGAGGCAGATAAAACTGTTCTGTGCAGCAGGGCTTAGTGAGGGTCCAGATGTAGTCCAGGAAAAGGAGCTGAGAGAAATGCAGCAAAAAGTAATAGGAGATTTGGATAATATGGTCTGTGAAAGGAGATCAAAAAAGACAAGGACTATCTTTTTGTTCATTTTGGATAAAATACATGGGAAAACAGGTCTGCGTGGCTTGTATGGGTTGAACAAGAAAGAATGGATTAAACTGCACCCAGAGATGTTTACACTTGGAGAAAACTTTTCTTTTTATGGCATGATGATGTTCTGGAGTAAACTGTGGAGGCTGCAGTCTCTGTTGGGAGAGACCTTTAAAAATGGAAGGAAATGTGTGTGRTGAATTAAGAGTATTGCATCCAATCCTAGAATACTGGCCACTCTTTCAAGAAGCCCCCATCCACTTTCTGTGAAAGAGAAAGAACTTGGTTCTTCTTCCAGGTATTTGATGGCTTCTGCATCTTCTTTCAAGGCAACTGCCTTTTAGTTATTCTGCTTCTTGATACAACTTATTTATACAGCTAATGTGAATGACTGCAGTTGGACACGTTCCACACGTGAATACTTAAAACACCTTTAGTATGTGTATGCCCTAGAGCCAAAGAAGTTTTGATGAGGAAGGAGTTCTGGAGGTCACCTAGGCTGAACCCTCACTTGGAGCGAAGCTGTTGCCAGCATTAGGTCAGGTCAGCTGTGATTTTGTCCACTTGAGTCGCGTCCAGCCTTGCTTATGAAAACCTTCTCTTTGGGAGAACTGAGCCAGTGCTGTAGTACCCTGCTGGGGAGGAACTTTGCCTCATGACAGATGAGGGCTTGGAGGATGTCTGGCTTGCTCTCTTCCCGGGCCCTGCTAGGAGTCTTCCTCTCTCATCTTAACAGATGCCTTTCAAGAAGTCACAGTTGGTTTGTATTGCCCCCAGCCTCCTTTTCCCCTGCTTGTCTGGTAGCAGGGGACAGAGCGATTCCAGTGCAATCTGTYGCTGTCTTAGCTGGTGTGGAATGAAACAAATCTCGCTTTTTAAATGCCTGTTCAACTCTCTTTGGCTTGAATGGCATTGCGAATATATAGTAAAAGCAAAGTTTAACTTTTTTWAAAYATTGTTTGGTGACATGTTTAAGTGAAAAGCAGTGGCCTGGATTTGACCCTTGCTGTGCTTTGGAGCCTGTTCTGGACTCGGAGAAGTGCTGCTAGGGTGTCACTCGCACAAGTGATGCTGCTTTATGCCGGCCTAAGCAGRCTTATTTTCAGTATATTGTACTTGGCAATGTCACATCCCACAACCTTTGCAGCTGAAAGGGAACTCGCTTAAAATGCTAAACTCTATAAAAGTTGGTGATAAACATGGTTTTATTTTGGATACGCTGGGTCCATAGAGGTGGGAAACCCAAGCTGGTCACCTTTCTGCAGTTCCCTTTACTTCTAAAGTTCCTTCTATCCTGTACKGTTATTCCCAGCCTGACTCCTGCTCTCCAGCTGGTATGAATGCTGCCTAACTACGTGACCTAGTGATGTTAAGGGCATGTACACTTGATTCCAAGCCTATCTGGAGCCTTGAATATTTTTTGTAGGATTCCAACCTTGCRTTGAACTGTACATGACTGCTTGGGAACATTAGCGCAGCCAACAAACTACCTGGATGAACCTTATATCAGATCTGGGAAGAAATTGGTGTTTTTTGGCCATCAACCTGAATTCCAGGTGGAATTGGATGGAATGGCCATTGATGGCCATTTTCAGGCCACCAACCTGAATTCYAGAGCATGGATAGGAAAAGAGGACYGAATGTTGTCTSTCTGCTAGAACACTTGCTTTATTTTTGGAATATATTGAAAATATGTATGAATGTCTGCTCTGCTGATGGCAAGTTAGGAACCTTTGGAAATCAGCAGTTGACTTSGAATACTTACCATAGCAAAAGAGAGAACATTGAGACTCAGAAAATATATCACATTTCTATATATATACTTTATGTATTGTCATTAAACTAAACTTAATATTACTGTAATAACTCTTTGCTCCCTTTTTTGACAATACTAATTTTGTATGTGAAAGTTGAATACTGATACATTTGGAGTTAACCATCTAGCTGCAATGTAGCTTTGAAACAGTTATATCACTCTTTGAATATTCAGTTAATTCTTTAATAATTATTTTTAGTTTAAGAATGAATCCAATACAAATAAAATATCTGAAGAGATTTTTTGATACTCATCTCTCTTCTATCCTGCATGATCCAAGTATTAGAAGAGTAAGTGTTCCTAGGAATTTTCTTTCTAGACAGAATAACTGAGACCATGTACAAAGACTACTTTCAAATAAAGTATATTTAAACTTTAAAAACATTAAAAAACATTTAAAACACTTTTGATAACTTGCTTGCAAGGTCACTGTGATGTCAGAGTAAAGGAGCTAGCTAACACAAGGGGAGAAAGAAGGAGTCTCTGATAACAGACAAATGATAATCTGATCTAAAGACTATTGAGTCTCCTGGTATTATGGGCTCCTTTGCTTGAGTTTGTGCTTCCTTTTCCCTTTGCTGGGCAGCACAGCCACAAAAGTGAAAACAAGAAAGCAGATCTACTMGCTCCTTTGTTCATTCCCTGCTAAACTTCAACTCTTCTGTGTAGTGCAGCTGTTGATAAGGCAGATACAATCAAAGAGAGAGAGCCTGCTGTGGGGTGGGAGAGGATATGGGGGTGTTGGTCAATGTGGTCAACATAGGCCAGGTGTGTGGCCAACAAGGCTTCCTGCCTTGTATCAGGAACAGTGTAGCCAGCAGGACCAGGGAAGTGACCATCCCCCTGTACTCGGCATGGATGAGGCTGTGCCTCGAATACTGTGTTCAGTTTTGGGGGGGCCCTCACTACAAGAAGGACATTGAGGTGCTGGAGCATGTCCAAAGGAAGGCAAAGAAGCTGGGGAACAGCACAGACCTTACAAGCAGAGGCTGAGGGAGCTGGGGTTGYCTAGTCCGGAGAAGAGAAGGCTCAAGGGAGACCTTATCACTTCCCACAACTACCTGGCAGGAGGGTGTAGTCAGGTGGGGGGTCGATCTCGTCTCCAGAATAACTGTCCATAGGACAAGAGGAAATGGCCTCAAGTTGTGTCGGGGAGGTTCAGGTTAGACATCAGGAAGAATTCCTACATGGAGAGAGTGGTGAAGCACTGGAACAGGCTGCCCAGGGTAATGCTGGAGTCCTCATCCCTGGCAGTGTTAGAGAAACAGGTCGTGAGGCACCTAGGGACGTGGTTTAGTAGGGCTGGTGTTGAAGGGCTTAYGATTGGATTCGGTGATCTTGAAGGTCTTTTGCAACCATAATGATTCTATGAAGAAAGTAACTGCAATTAAGGCCCAGATTTATCCCTATGTTCCAAGCTTTATGCCACATCACAACCTTTGACAATTTTTAYGGTGTTTTGAAAATGTCTTTTCCACCTATGAGATGGAAAAAAAMCTATAGTTGGGATTTAACATAATAATAAAAAGAAGAAACATCTCATGTGAGGAGAAGAGAAATGAATAAAAGTGGTCCTTTATAAACAAGTTGCTAAACTTGGCGCACACATTTGTATCATATCGTCTACTGAAGTAGCATAACAAAGACTTCTTTGCAGTGCTGTAAGGAAACCTTTTCTTGTGCAATTAGGATGGTGTCAGAAAACATTTGTATTAAAATTCCTTTGAAACAAAAGAATTGTATTTTCTAAAAGTATGGAAGTTCTGTGTCTGTGTGCTTGGCTGCATAACCTCATTATGAAAGCATTAATTTTGTTCAGCTTTTATAGGTAACTAGACCAAAATGAGAGTGTATATTAAATTCATCTACCAAATAATGAAAAATCTATTTAAAATACTTTTTGAAGAAAATGTGCAGCTTCCACGTATGAAAACAAGTCTGGATCTAAACAGACATAACAGTATTAATGGTTCACATTAAAATTTCATATCTGAGRAATTCATTTCTATTACTGTTAATTTTTACTAATATTAGCTCGTTGTCTTGATACGCAAAAGCTTTGTCTTCAGGTTGCAGTGTATTTTTGCATTGCATTTTTTATCATTTATTTTCTTACTYTGCTATCAGGGTAGGGTTCTTTGTCACTCATTGTATCAGTGTAGCAGCAGCTCTCTTTAAACTGCCTTATACTTGGTTTTCCATGGTTTATCTTAAGCCGTTTGGATTAAAATCTGGATCCACTTCTAAATATCTGCCTTTGAAATTCCCTAGCAACTTGCCTGCTTRGCCTGAGAGCTTCTGTTTGACTCATTCATACAAGTACTTAGTCAGAGCTAGGTGCCTAAGCTGAGCTGAGGTGCAAGGTTGCTCAGGTCCCTCTTCAGATTTCCAGGGAAATTTTGAAGTTTTGAACACAAATTTACACAGAATCACAGAATGTTCAAGGTTGGAAGGGACCTCTAGAGACCATCCAGTCCAACCCCYTGCTCCAGCAGGGACACCCAGAGCACGGGGCACAGGTCGGCATCCAGGYGGGTTTGGAGACCTCCAGAGAAGGAGACTCCACAGCCTCCCTGGGCAGCCTGTGCCAGGGCTCTGTCACCCTCACAGGGAAGAAGTTCCTGCTCACATGGAGATGGAACTGCCTGTTTCATCTTGTACCCATTGTGCCTTGTCCTGTCACTGGCCACCACTGAGAAGAGCTTGGCCCCTTCCTCCCTACATTCTCCCTTCATGTATTTATACATGTTAATCAGATCCCCTCTCAGCCTTCTCTTTTCCAAGCTGAAAAGGCCCAACTCGCTCATTCTCTCCTCATAGGAGAGATGCTCCATTTCCTTAATCGTCCTTGTCGCTCCCCGTTTAGTCCCTGCCTTTACCAAAACCCATGAGSAGTTTTAGCTGTGTGAACCTAGTGACCAAAGCTCTCACCTGGTATGGAGGAGATGTAGATCCACTTTTTCTCTCAACCTGACAGGCTTAAAAGTTCCCAGCTTTTAAGAAGCAGACCTAAATACTGTGCTGCAAAGGACTTAGGTGGAGATGACCGTCATGTCTTGCTATTGAYGCTGGAAAGCTGCGTAGCCAAAAATGTCAGGCTAGGAGAGCAGATGAGCAATGAGGAGCTGCGTCGTCACTGAAACCTCATCCCGAGCATACTCAGGAGTGAGAGTGCTGATTTAGTTCTGCCACATTACCTCGTGTTGTTGCTTTCTTCGACATGCTTATTGTCAGTATTTTGAATCTATCATTTGTAGTGCGGGAGCCACCGGTGGCTGYCCTCTCTGATGAGGTCCTGCTTCCTAGGAGAGGCTGGGGCTGCTGGGGATATCCCGGCACTCTGGATCATGCACTGGTGCCATGCCAGRGCCTCAAGGAGCTTGGATAACCCTGCTCCTTGTGCTCCCCGTTCGCCAGGTGCCCGCAGTAGCYGGCTCCGTGGGGCAGCCCCACAGAGGTGAGGGCCCCTTGGCGCTTGCTGGGGGCGCTGGGCTGACCTGCCCAAGCTGGGCCGGGCTTTGGAAGGAAGGGCYGCCGCACCTGGGTTAGGCCTTCTTCGTGCGCAACAGCCTCGGCCCTTCCCAACGTGGAGCTTAGGAACTGTGTGTTTAATGAGGGCTTCAATATGAGCAGGACAATGTCCTGATAACCAAGAATGAAAAGAGCAAAAGAAAAACTTTTTTTTGAGCGTTTACATCTTAGTGGTCAAGTTAGGTAGGGATTCTGCRGAAGAATTAATAAGATATCACCGTATTAAAAAGGATGTCATAAGCTTTGTAAACCAAGGGTCCAAACATAGCAGTCCTGAGATTCCTAACTTAGAATGCCTGGCTTAGCTACCTCTATTTATCATTTATCATCTATCATTTATCATTTATTACTACTTATTACTTATCTATTATCTATTATCTATTATTTATTATTTATTTATTTTTAATTTAATCCCAATAATTTCCATTATTATTTTTGTTTTCAATTCTTAYAATAAGTTGTACTGAAAATGAAAAGTATTTTACATAATGGTGTTCAGCAGATTTACTGTGTATAAAACATGTACAGAAATTCTCATGTTTAAGTCAAAAGGTATCAGGTAAATCTTTGCTTTATAGAGTTGCTGTGATTAGATGAGCCTTTCTGTCTTTTCCATTGCCMTTCTGACTGGCTTGTTTCTGTATTCTCAAAGATTTTTTAACACTGTAAGAAAAGAGTGCAAAGCATATTTAAGTAAAATAGAGAAAATAATATATATATGTAATTATACATATATATGTGTGTGTATATATTATATATATAACATATATATATAATTATATRTATATAATTAYGTATATATCTATAGAGTTAGGTTCATGTTTTTCTTTACTAAGGCTCTTTATTTTCTAAGTGTTCCATAAACTTTYGTGAAGACCCTTCATTTCTGTTTGTGGCCAACCTTGAGAACACTGAGCTCTAAGTACTAAAATATTTTTGTAATAAAATGTCTCTATTATTTTCCAAGTGCATGCTCTTCAGAATAATGCAAGTGGTGTATGAATTGAAGTATTTATTTCTAGTAGTTAATTTCAACTTATTTCTTCAACGAGGGCATATTTTGCAGTAGCATCACATGAGAGGTTGTGTTGAACTTTAAAAAAATTTACAGGTATGATAATTCAGGTATTTCTTTTGAAYGGGCTGTTTGTAATGTGTATGTGCAAGCAGTTACATAGCTGCTTGCCAAGTCCTATGCTGATTAGAGGAAGGAGACCGACCTTTTTTCTATTTTATGCTAGATTTTTTTATGAATGTATCTTTTTGATCTTTGATGTGACTCAGTAGTTAACTAGTGAATTCTTCATTTTTTTTTAAAGGAACTGAAACTACCATTTACTTTTCTAAGTGGTCATATTCATGAGCTTCGAATTCACGTGCCATGGACAAAGTTAGGCTCAGAACCAGTGGTCATCACTATCAACACGATGGAGTGCATCTTGAAATTGAAAGATGGGGCTCAGGTAAGAAACATGATAAATATATTTCTAATGCTGTGAGGCTGACAAGAATAAGAGTTTGTAAGAAGTCATTTCTATTTAAGTCCTCAGAAGAATCTGGCATGCATAGTTGTATTCACGGTTATTTCCTTAGTAGGTCATGTGTTTAATATTTTCCTTGGTATGTATTTCTGATTCTGTTTTAGCTATAATGGTATTCTTGCAGGTGTAAAACTAGGTTAATATTCATTCTCTGTTAGAATTTTCCTATGACTAGACAATAAATGGATTTCAAGAGCGGCAACTTCTACCAGAAGCAGCTCTGGTTGGTTGAGAAAGTTTTGTGCAGCACCACTGGACAYTGATTGTTTTCAAAAGATGAGTTGCTCTTATTGAAGTGCTTTACAGTTCTTGGAGTGCGAGGTACAAGCAAGGGTTCTCAAGGGCGTTTTGTTTTGTTTTAGGAATTTTTAACTTATACTATTTCAAAGGCTTAAGAACAACTTCCTTCTGCCACAATGAAACTGAAACGACTTCACCTTACTTCTAACTTTGTCAGTCATAAATACTTGGGTACATTAACATTTAAACTGTGTCAGTTGGAGTTGTTGTTTAGGAAAATTTATATATATATATATATATACACACACATATATATATATATACACACATTATATATAAAAATTCTTGTTCACACTTTAATTTCAACGTAGAGTCCAGTCACATTAAGGATCCTACAAAAGAAACATTTAATTTATACAAAGCCTGCAGGTCTTCGCTGGCAGGCTTGATGAGCTGTAAACATTGAATATCARTGATGAGATATCTGTCAGCAAAAGCAGTGGGGGACAGTTTTCCATTACATTGGAGAATGTTTGTGATTCTTTGACAGTTCTGGAGTTGAAAGGCTTTTGTTGGAGTAAAAATCCCTAGTCCTAAGCACACCACACACAAAGCGTATGCTTGTGTTCTGTAGCTACTCTTTATCTATGTGCATACATGCGCATACATCCCTGTGCACCTCCTAACAGCCAAATACTGAATATTTAGTTCTAATGTTGCGGTGAGTTTCCAAGGCCAGGTGCTCCATGAGAAACATGCTGTGGAAGCAGCAAATTGCAACTAATTACAGAAGCTGCAGAAAAGGTTTTACTCTGTGCAACCCGGAACTAATATTTGATGCTAGACCATGTAAATGACTGCTGCTGGAATGATCAGACTTCCTGCTTGTGTGCTGTTTGAAACTTAGATTTTGTGGTGCAAACAGCGAAAAGTCAAATGTCATGAATGGGAAGCACTCTCAAAGTAAGTGCTTGTTACAGATGTTTGAGATTCAGAGGTAAGAAAGGATTTTTTTTTTTAAATTGCAGCTGACATTTGGACAAATTATTTGATGTTATGTATACTCAGGAGAGTGAAATTTGGTACTGTGTCATAGTTGGCTTTATCTTTGACTAATAAGAATGTAAATGAAGACACTTTTTTCCTTTTTTTTTTTGAGAATATAAYTTAAAAAGTTGAAGCTTGAATTTTGTTTTCTAGCTTACTGGGAGATATTTTGTCCAATTCTTATCAAATAAGACCTTTCCTTTTATCATGAAAATGTATAATTAGTTAATGAAAAACCTGAATGAACCAAGGAGATTATTTCTATGAAAAATGGTAGAAAATATGCTTTCAGTGAACTTAGCTCTGACTGGAACTGTCTGCCAAGAACTTGATATCATCAAAACCTGTAATTAGCAGGAAAAAATCAGTTTAATTCTCAAAAGTTTATAATTTATGAGCTTAATCCTCCCTTTTCCTCCCTTTGGCAAAGGGAGCACTTAGTGAGCTTTTGTATAATTTTGTTGAGCAAAAAGTTCAGTTTTTGCTCTCAACTTAGTCTGGAGTGTCTGTCCACGGATGCCGTTTGGTTTCTTGGTTTGCTTTTTGCTGCTGCTGCAGTTGTTTCCCGTGCTATGGCAGCATCTCCTCCTCACCCGGGATAAAAGTTTGGAGCAGACAAGGTGAGATTGGCAGTAATGACTCAACTTCTGCTATTATGCTAATATTCTCCTTTCCTGAGGAGAGAAGTGGATGTAAGTGATCGGTTTACCCAGCAATGTACGAATCCTCTCAGATAGCATTAATGCTGGTTTTAGCCAATTTGAGGGGCACAGAGAAACCAAGCAGTTGTTTGGATCAGCTTGCAGGTGATTTACCTCTGTTTGTGTTTTTGAGGCACTATGGAGAAATTCTGCCTGAATGYAGTAACTTTGTAAGAGCAGGGGAGAACAGGCAGCAAGCACGATGGTCGGGAGAGCAGATGGTATYTGAAAATCGTTAAATACCATGGTATTTGAAGATTGTAAACCCTTTTTCCTCCTTCTCTGTCCTTATAGACTCTTAGATACCCTGTGGAGGATTTAGGCCAGACCATTGCAGATCTGAATGCAAGTCTGATCAGTTCTCGTACTTCTATTTGTTTTGAAAATGAGAAGGGACTTCTAACCATTAAAAGGAAGGGGAATAGGAACCTTAAATCCTCTTCCCCTTTTCATGTGCATGATCGTGAACTGTTATTTATTTATTTATTTTTATATGTCCCTCTGATACCTCTGCTTCAATTACAGTAACTTCTAGTGTGTGTGGCAAGTTAACTAATAGTTACTTTTTTCCAAAAGCTTCAAAAATGTCTGGCAGAGCCTTTAGTTGGGCTTTATGTCATTTTCTCTGTAGAGTTCTAGTCTGAAGGATTCTCATAGTGTTTTCTAGGAGTGGTTTGGTAGGAAATGGGATGCTCTAGGGAGCAGATTTTCCGTATCTGTTTTGTAAGGGATTAGTTTATTGCAAAAAATCTGCCACCATTTAATAAACTTGCTCTTTYGGTAGAGGGAGTAGCTGTAAAATAGTGGCTTTTAGAAAAGTCTTTGGAGCGGTTGGTTCAGAGAGGAACTTTCCTGTTTGGACTGTTTTCAAGTGGGTGGCTGAAGAGGAATTGCTTGAATGGTTTTGCTGTTCTTTAAAGGCAAATTATCTGATGCTTTAGGTCATAGTAATTCTATTTGCAGAAGAATAAATTTTTTGCAGTGAATTTGTGGAAGTTGCAATGGGCACRTTTCTATTAACTGTGGAAGTCCTTCTGCAGCTGTTGTGCATTATGTGCATCACATACCAAGCTGGGTAGTCTGTGGCTTAGTCTAGGTGAACAAGCTTTGCTTTTAGGTCTTTATACTAAAGACTTCTAATAGTAAGAACTCSAACTTTTTTTCCGTTCACTACTGGGTGCCATTATCACACCTAGTGTCCAGATAGTCTCTGTTTGAGACTATCCATGGTGGCAGAAAGGGATAATCTGTCCCAATAGCTCAAGAGTATTTGCAGCTCTGCTTATACCAGAAGGGTCTGACTAAGAGGTTGCTTCTCTGAGCAGCCCAACGTTGAATGACAGGGCAAGATGGAGACCGTATGAGGACCCCGTGCAGCAGCACAACTCGCTCCTGGCTGTGATATTTCCTCCCACCGGGTTATCATGACAYGGTACATGTGTAGGGAAGATGTAAACAAGAAATGTTTTCCGTTCCTCGTGCCAACTTGTTGTGTAAACGCTCTCTCCAACTGTCTGGAAATTGAATGCATACTTGAAAGATTAAAAAATTGACAGTTTTATTCCTTGAAATGTTTAGTCCTGTAAATGTCACCATTATTCATATTTAAAAAGAGAAGCCAATTATGCTGTGTTTACTGTGGTAGTAGATTCAGGAACAGAAAAACAGCCAGAAATGTATTTTGGGATGCATTCTTACTAAAGTGTTCAGAGTTTAAATGCAATTAATTTCAAGAGGAAAGTTGTTAAAATGAGCCTAGCCATTATTACAGTGTACTGAGGTTGTAAAACACAAATGTTCTCACCAGTTGTGTTCAAGTGTGTGTTTCTGTTGTGATTTACACATGAAATGAAAAGAATGCAGGCGAGGATGCGGCTCTGCCATGGTGTGTGCACTGCAAGATAAGGAAACGGCTGGAAATTGTGTGTGTAGCTGCATGTTCTTTTTTAATTTCAATGCCCATCGCATCTGGGGCAAGAGCATCCAGTAAATCAGTGGTGCCTTTTCCTGCCTTCCCTGTTGTTTTCTGAAGACTTTCTCTATCTACCTCTTGTGCTGTTGTAGTTCAGATCGGGAGCGYGCCTGGGAAGGAGTCTGGTTGTTGAGGCTCTTGGTCCTTGGACTTGAGGAATGGRGTGGTCTGAACTCATGGGCTGCGTCACCTTGTGGATGAAACCAAACTGGAACCTGCTCTCCAGGAGCAGCTGTCATGTGCTCCAGCACATTACAGATTACAAAGAACATGGTGTCCTCCACAAAAACTGGTGTCAGTTTTTAATAGAATCAACAACCACTACTGTTGCTATTCTGGGTTAGTGTGATCACCAGCTATTGCATGGTTTTGGTGTAGCAGCACAGCGAATCCTACTAAACGGTCTAGAATCAGAATGTCTAGCCTGTGCTTAGTGCCAGTTTCTGTCTGAGGTACTAATCATCTCGTGAAATATTTAATTCTAATTATGACCACTAGCACAAGCACTCTTTTTTTTTATCCCCTTTTTAAGAGCGCATCCTGTTGGGATTTTGTGAGATTATTGTCAGTTCGTGTGTCCTTTTTATGTAAGGATTGAGAGGAAGCAGAGTCTGAACTTCCAGACTGACAGGTCGTATCGCTCTGTGATACAGCCTGTGATTCAGCCGCTATTGAATTCCCCTTTTAACAGCTTTGCCTGTAGATTTGAAATAAGGTCTCATTCTGCTGGGTCTTCAGACAAACTAAGCTCCTTCTCTTTTGGCTGTTATGCAGTCTCATGTTCTCTCCCTTTGGATAAATAGTCTTTTTCCTTTCTCTGTCTCAGGAGCTCTGTTCCTGTGCAGCTCTCTCTTGCTTTACTGATGCTGCCACAAGCTCCAGAAAGGTTTTCTTTCTTTGTGCTTCTCTTCTGAGCCATCACGTCCATATTAAGTGACCGCCTGCAGCTCTCTCTTTGGTGA